ACCCAAGTTTCATTTAACAAGGTTTACAGTTGTAGGTTGCACACTTAAATCTAAGTTTTTTTCTGTATGGATATTCAATTGTCCCCTTAGCACTCCCCATAGCAGCCTAGGGTCACTTCAACTCTTCCACACCCCTCTCAACACTTGGAATATTCTATCTATCTATCTATCTATCTATCTATCTATCTATCTATCTTTTTAAGCAGGGTCTCATGCTCTAGCTCAGGTTAGGTTGCCTCAAACTCTGGGATTAAAGACCTATGGCCCCATTATTGTAGCACCATGTCAAGATGGCTATTCTATGCCTCAATATAAATATATATATATATACAGACCTTTCCCTGACTTTCTGGTCTATCCGCATGCTCTGTCTGTCTAGCCAAACACTAGTTTCATAGTGTCTTGTTTGTGACATTTTGCATAAGTTTGAGGTCAGATAGTATTAATCATATCATTTTCTTATTTTTCAAATTCCAGTATTTGATACAGTAATGATCTGTCTTGTTTTGTTTCATAGTAAGCTTTTTGTTGTTGTTTGTTTTTTGGTTTTTGTTTCTTTGTTTTCGAGACAAGGTTTCTCTGTATAACAGCCCAGGCTGTCCTAAAACTTCCTTTGTAGACCACGCTGGCCTCAAACTCACAGAGATTCACCTGCCTCTGACTCCCAAATTCTGAGACTAAGGGCATGCACCCCCACTGCCTGGCTACTTTATTCATTCTATCTAAGGAGACTTCCAGAATTTTTACTGTAATTGCATTGAACTGCAGAGGTCAACCTGGGAATTCTGGCATCTGAACAACACCGAGTACTGGCATAGTTCTCCAGTACTCAGTATTTGCATTCCTTCCCCACAATTGTTGACAGATTTCAGTACAATTTTTAGTGCTGGAAAGGGAGATTAGCAGCTGAAGCATTTGCTGTGAAAGCTTGAGGACTGGCGTTCAGATCCCCAGAACCCACAACATGCCTGGTGGGTGTCCAGACCGGGAAGGTAGACACAAGGGATCCCCAGAGCAAGTTGGCTAGTGAGACACCAAGCAAGTTCCAATTTGACTGAGAGACTTTGCCTCAAAGAACAAGGTGGAAGAGCAAATGAGGAAGATTCCCAACATCAGCCTGGATCTCCACACACATGTGCATGCACCCCCACACACATTTAGACACGCACACTCATACAAATATGCCCACACACATGTAGACATGCACACTCACATACATATATGCCACACATAGAAAGATGAAAAATAGATCCTTCAAACTTAAAAGGTTTTTTAAAGATTTATTTATTTTATGTGCATATGTGCTTGCCTGTGTGAGTTTATGTGTACCACATTTGAAAGGCCAGAAGAAGGCATCATATCCCTTGGAACTGGGGTTACAGGTGTTTGTGATCACCCATGTGGGTTCTGGAAACTGATCCCAGGTCTTATACAAGAGTAGTAAGAGCTCTAAACCACTGAGCCTTCTCTCTAGCCCCACTATTTTAATTTAATGTGTGTGTGAATTTATACAACCCTGAGTGCAGTGCCCAAAGAGGTCGGAAGAGGGTATCAGATGCCCTGATGCTAGACTTATAAGCAGTTATAAGCCACCCACCCCGTTCAGACTCTGGGAACTGAACCTGGTCCTCTGCAAGAAGTATGTATTCTTAACCACTGAGCTGTCACTCTAGCCCTGTTCTTTCCAATCTCTAACTTATCTATCTCCAAGTATTTCAAGTTTTGATATTTTTGTAATTAGTAAGTTTTACTTAATTTCAGGTTCAATTAGTGCGTTGTTGAAATGTGGGAATGAAGTTGGGTTTTATATCTGCTTTTTTATGGTCTGCCATCTTACCAGGACTTCTTATACTAGCAGCTTCTGATGGATTTCATTGGTCAGTTCAACCTAGATAAGAACATCCTCTACAAATGCAGAGAATCTTTGTTTCTAGTCTAGAAGACTTGAATTCATTCTTAAATGAATCGAGGTTAAGTTTACTGGAAACCCAAGGACTTTAATTTCAGTGCCAACTCTGCCACGACTTACTGTGCAACCTTTGACAAGTCACTTTCCCTCTCTGAAACTCAACTGCTATCTGAAATGATCTGCACGTTCTCTGTGATCAGGTCTAATGTTTAGTAAGACAGAGAACACACTCTGAGTGATAGTAGGGCTCTCCTGACTCATGGCCTCCTGGCCACTGAGCGCTACTTCTTCCTCTTCCCGTTAAGTGTGACTCACTGCTATCATGAGAGTTGAGGTGAGTGTATCACCTGTGATCTCCTGGCCTTCCCATGAAACAGGGAGTGGCTGTAGTTAGTTCATCATGTTTTTACCTTTGCTGTGCCACCTGCTGTAAGCAAAGCCCTGTCTGCATAGCAAAGTGGGTTGTCTAGCAGAGGTCAAGGTACTTAACAACAATAACAACAACAACAACAAAAAACATTGAATTTGGGTTTGTTTGCTTTTTTAGCATCTTAATTGTTATTTAAACACTGTCCCCTCTCTTACTTTTGGTGTTGACACTTACTTTATAGTATTGAGGTCTGCTAAAGCGGGTGGAGTGAGGAAGAGTCAACACCTGAGGGAAAAAAAAAAGTCTGTTCACCCAGAAACGGAGGGTTCCAGTAAGGAAATGGAAGTCCTGTCCATCTACACAGAGAAGGACACACACAAGTCAGAGCAAATTCTGCTAGAAAGGCCTGACTCTGAAAATAAGGAATTTGGACTGCCTCAAAGTCATGGTGGAAACAAGGGGCAGAGCAGGTCCTTTCCATGGTTTGAGTCCTCAATCTCTGGCCCTCATTCCTAGGGAGGGGACACCATGCCTTCTGAAAAGGAGCTGTCTCTCACCAGAGGGAAAACTAGTCCAGGCCTCCAGGAATCCGTCAGTTTGGCCTGTCTGATCCTGTACACCCACTACAGGCGCTGAACCAGACTGATTCCTTTGGGCTATGACAGGGAGCAAAGGCAGCAGACCCTTCTGATGGCCTGAGACATGGTAGAATCCAGCGTCCAGAAACAAATTCATAATCATCTATAGGAAATCAATGTAGAAATATCTCCAATGACAACAACACAAACCACCTGGAGAAGACGGGGAGAGGTCGTGCTTTCAGGGCTTGCCCCATCACATGTGCTTTAGCAGAGACTCTGGACTGGGCAGAGGTGTGGAAAGACTTATTGTAGACAAAATGGACACACAGATGTACCCTGGTTTGAGGCAGTTGGCCTGGGAAAGCTGTAGGGATCTAGACCCAAACAAGGCATCCATGGGTTGATTAGGGATTACGTACTGGGATTTCTGTGTCAGTTATTAATACATTGGTCATTTGGAGCCAATTGCCTACAAGGGTCATTGCTTCCTGAGCTTCTTGATGGAGAGCATAAGCTATCTAAACAGCGCCAAATCCGACTGAAGGTTAACAGTAGGCTGGCTCCTCCAGCTGGGGATTGTAGATAACAAGCTGGTTTCCTGGGGTGGCTGCTACAGACTGTGGGTCAGAGTTTAGTTTTTATGTATGGTCTGCCTACCATTTGTATATGGATGTCTCATCAGAGACTAAAGCAGAGAGGGGATGTGGTTCATCCACAGTCTAGCAGCTTATTGTAACCAGATCTGAGCTGAGCGTATTTCTCCTTCGATCTGCAGAGAAACCCACTTGGATTCCGTCTGTTGAGGGGGCATGTTTAGAAGCAGAGGAGACTGAAATTCAACACGGATGTTGTAGAGACAGGTTTCACCAGGAAATCAACGGGTAGTTCCACATCTTGGTAGAAAGGCTCAGCACTTTCTGAGAGCTGAGAGCCACCACCTTTTGGTCTCAGCCCTGGTCGTTCCATCTACCCACCAAAATGAGGCGCTTCTCTCCCTCTATCCTGCAGTCCTACTTTACCCCATCACCAGTGGCCATCTGAAGGAATCAGGCTGCCTCTGTCAGGCTTTGGTTCTGCTGCATGTGAACATCTCACTTGTGAATGGTGAGGAGATGCCTTCCTCACCGCCTACTCTAAGGTATAAGTAATACAATGTATGTGAAGTTCCCAATATAGTGCCTCCCATGTTATAAATATTTAAAGACAGCACTCATTTTCATTAGAGTAGCCCCCTCCCACTCTTCTTGGGGAATACATTCTAAGCCTTCCATTGGATAACTGAAGCTACAGTTACTATGACCCTTTATACAGTTCCTCAGTTTTCATGGGAGACTGTTTTCCAGGCTACCCTCTCTCCCCAAGGATATTCAACTCCATGGATGTTCAACTCCCTTATATAAAATGGCATAGTATTTACACACATCTTCCTGTGGACCTTAGCCATCTTTAGATTACTTACAATATTTAATATATTATAAAAAACCATGTGCATAGCTGGGTTACTGTACTATCAAGGGGATGGAGATGAAAAAAAGTCTATGCAGGTTCAATGCAGATGTGACTTGTTTTCAAAAACTTTATCCACAACTGGTTGAATCTGTATGTACAGAACTCTCAGACACAGAAGACTTACCACATGACATTTTCTTCTTTACATACATGCATAAACACCTATGACAAAGCTTAATGAATAAATTAGGCACCATAACAGATTAGCAGCAGTAACAACACAATATAATAAAAGTCATTTCAAAGTTACAGATCATTTGCTTTTAGAATTTCCAATTTAATATTTTCAGACCATGGTTGTTCACAACTGAAACTACAGAAAGAAGAACTGAGAATTCGGGGTGGGGGGTACTGATTACCCTGTTGCAGCTGCAGAGAACCCTTTAAATGTATATGTCCACCTTCCTGGAGTTCTCCCTCAAGTTTATCCATTGCTGATTTTCTCATTTGTACCATGTAAGTCAAGTACAACCATACAAAGAACCCGATGAGGAAGACAGATGTGTCCTGTAGAGGTAAAGAGAATTCAGTCATGATTTAAACTCAACCAAGAAAGGAGGAAGAGGGAGGGAGAGGAGAAGAGGAAAAGTAAGAAAGAATGAATATTTGAAAACTGTTTTCTATGGTTGCTTTAATTTTCTTCTTCATATCTATCTCTATGTTTCCAATTTTTCTCTATTGGATAGTTTTTACTTATATAAGAATTTTTAATTCTTGAAAGTCTGATAGAGCAGAAATTGGAGGCAATAAGAAGAGGCAATGGTCAAATCCAAGGAGCCAAGCAGGCTTGGGAAACTGAACATTACAAAGCTAGGGGACACCATACTGAGGGAGGGAAAAAGAAAAAGGAACCAGGCCAGGTCAGAAGCTGGCTCCTCAGACCAGGACAACTGAGCCTGAAGAGTACCTGAGAAGAAAACATCTTGATTAAACAAAGACAAAGTCTTGGTCCAGCAACAAATTAGCCTGCATGACTGGAGAAAATTCAAATAGAGGGCCTTGGGAGATGGTTCACACACTTCCCTGGGAAGACTCTGGAGCAATAGTTCACCCACAGGTTCTAAACCCTTATCATAGAACCTGTGCCCACTGAAAGTGGTACTTGATACAAGAGTAAAAGAACCAAGGGTGAGAAAGAAGACAGAAGTGCCCAGAGGGCAGGGCTCAGAGCCGGTGAGTTGAGACCAGGAAGACTCCAGCACCTCACACTGTCTGTCATTCACTGAGATCAGTCATAGGATTGGAGGTGGTCATGATTCAAGACATGGAGGTAGAGATGGAAAGAAGCCCAAATTCTCACACATCTTCCTTTCCCAGGAGCTAGAGGATCCTGCACGAAACTGAGATTCAAGCTCATCCTCAACAGTGTTCCTCTCTAGGAGTACTTTCAACTTCAGGAAGACACAACACAAAGAAAACTTTATTTGTAGAAATACATATGGGCCAAGGAGTCCATAACTACAAGATATAAACATATGAGTCTGGGAAGTTGGGTTGGAATGTTCAATAATTGTAAGACACCTAAAATTTCCTATCTGGTGTATTCTTCCAAAATTCATACTAAAAAGCCATTGGCTCACTTGTCTCATTGGGCTTCAGCAGTAATACCCTTAATTAAACACAAACTCCCATAGCTGCTCTTCTGGAACCCAAAGGGCTTGTTTATTATGTGAAAATACATCACTTGTTCTTGACAGGTTATAAATATAATCTTTTTAAAGTTTTGGGTTCAAATACAGAATAAATAGAAGTTCAGTAGAAAATAAATAGATATATTAATGAATAAATATAGCTATTATCAGAAAAGACATCACAGAAAATTTTACAAAATTAACCATGTAAGGTAATACTGGGGACACACAAAGGCATCCACATAAGGAAACCAATAATACATAAATACATAAATAATATACATTGTGACCAGCACTAAATTATATGACAAAGAGGTGGTGCTTTGAGGCCATGTCTTCACCATATTGAGGACAGACACTCTTGGGTAGCAATGTTCTCAGCAGCATCTGGGGCCATGTCTTCATGGTACTGAGGACAGACACTCTTGGGTAGCTATGTTCTCAGAAGCATCTAGGACCATGTCTTCATGGTACTGAGGACTAGGACTCTTGGGCAGGAGGGTTCTCAGCAGCCTCATCACCTTCATTTATATCATCTCCTCCATCCATCTCAGAAGAATGCCTAGTTCCCCCAATGCCTTCACTACTGCTTCCTGACGCTCAAGCTGAAGGAAAAGTAGATGCATGCTGTCAGAGATGCAAAAGAGACATTTTCACGAGGACAGTCCTCCCTCCTGTTGACAGGTTAGCTGGGATAGCGACAAGAGCACTCTTTTCAAGATGAAGAGACTAAAAGAGGTGACAGTATATCAAATTTTCACAGAAGGAAGGAAGACTACTGAGTCCCTGGTCTTACACAGAGAATGGAGGCCCAGAGATAACTTGGCCCACACAGATCGTAATAAGGCTGTTTTTCCTCAAGAATTATATACATATATATATATATATATATATATTGTGTGTACTTAAATCTAATAAATATTGACATGCCAAGCACTGGACCGGTTCAGAAGTGAATGGCACAATCCTTGCCCAAAAGGAATTCTTGGTTGAGGAAGGGAGACAGACAGGAATAAATGCAGTATGATAAATAAATGATAGGAGGCCCCACATCATGACAAGAGATAGCCAACTCTAGGGGGCGATGCCCAGGCTGAATCCTGAAGGACAAAGAGGAGGAAGAAAAGGAGAAGGAGGAGGAGAAGGAGAAGGAAGAGGAGGAAGAAGAGAAGAAGGAAGAGGAAAAGGAGGAGGAGAAGGATGTCAGTGAGGAGTTGACTCAGGATTTCTTGGCAGATGTGTAAAAGTATCAATGCGAGGAACAACATAGATGGATGGGTATGTATGATATTGCACGTGATGCTTTTGAAGGTGTGCATTGTGTGCATATTGGAAAGCTATTGTTTGTCATTTATGCCCCTTGGAAGATCCAGGTGTGTCTGGATAGACATTCTTCCTTCACTGGTCAGGCATTATGTAGAGAAAGCATCCTTCTAGAACCTGGGATGGTCCCTGGGACCATAGGGAACCACTAACCTGAATGAATATATTCATATTTACCAACATGAATATATACCTCTCACATATCTATAGTCTCAGTTCCAAAAACACACCTACCACAATCCCTACAAAAACAGTACATACCTCTGTGAAGTGACTCAGAACATGGTTGTATTTCTTCATTGCTTCTTCCCCACAATGACATACCATACGGGAATGCTGAAAAAGACCCAAAGAGTGGAAAGTTTTATTTTTATCTTTTAGCGCATATGGCCTTTGCCTGCATGTGTATCTGTGAGCCACATTTATGCAGTGCCAGTGGAGGCCAGAAGAGGGTCCCTGGGACTGGAGTTAACAGAAAGTTGTAAGCCACCATGTGGTGGGTGGGAATAAATTTGGATCCTCTGCAAGAGTAGCCAGTGCTCTTAACTGTTGAGCCATCCATCCCTGTTTCTAATTCTATTTTACAATTTGACTTCTCTGCCCTTGCTTGGCATAAGCAGAAAATCCTGTTTTACCTATTATCCTGTGAATAGTCATTTCTGCAGGAAAGTCTTTTCATGACTCATCATTTGGGATCATGTAACTAACCATCAGACAGGCAAAGAAGCCAGCCTTTCACTCTCAGATGTGGAGCTCACTAAGTCTTTTTAGAAAGAGGCCGTGCTGAGGGAGTTTCTAGTTCCTGTGCACCACTGGCTTCCTACCTGAGCTCCTGTCTAGGGGGCTCCAGAGCAAACCCAAGCCCTTATGGAAAGAATGCAGTTCTAAAGTCCTATCACAACCCAAAATCAAGTCTAAAAGCCTATCACCACCTGAGCACAAGAAGCCCTAGAAAAGCTGTAGAATGCATTACTATAGGAAAAAAATTAGTTTCGTGGATTCCGAATAATAATTGTAAGCATCAAACAGCCAGCATTTTATATTTCTTCAAACCTTTTAAAATGCTTTTTGAATGGAGCATATATTCAATAAAACAGGATATTTCTGAATAGTTACATGTTCAGCACCTGTTTTTTGTTTGTTTGGTTTGGTTTGGTGCTTTGTTTGGTTTGGTTTGGCATTTTGTTTTGTTTTGTTTTGTTTTTTAATGTTGGACTCAATTTCTCTACCCAGTCAATGGAATAGAAAAAGGGCTTGGTTGCTCAGTGGTTCAAACTATGTACCCAGACCTTTACTCACACAGATAGAGAGGTCCTTCTTGATGATAAGAAAAGAATTGGCAAGGCTGCTGGTCTTTCGGAGGATATGATGGTCAGGGGTCTGGTAGAATTTGAATACCCTGTCCAGATAGAATCTCACTAAATGGCGGAGGAAACAGCACCTATCTGAATGCTGCAAATAACATATGACAAGTGAATTAATGAGAAGAGGGGAAGACAAGACCAGGCCTGATTAAGAAGCTCTGGCTTTGCCCTCCCAGAGTCACCCCAGATCAAGTCCATACTTTTATGTCTTGCAAAGACTCAGTCGTCCTTAAGATTCTGATGTCTATGTTTTCATCTTCAGCTTGCTAAACAAGAAAAAAGACAAGAAAAGACAGGTCATTGACTGCTGCCAGAGCTTTAGATATGAAAACCTTTGGTCTCTTCCCCACTAGGGTTCAATGAGAGGCATTTTTAAACTATTAAGTACAGGCAACTCTTGGAAATACACTGCCCAGGACTGGACTCTCTGTCTGGCCTGTTTCCATTAACACACTATCAGAGATATACCCTGAAAAGACAGACAGACAAAGGGGGAAGAGAACAGACAAACAGGAAAGATGGATTCCCTTCTTTACATACCACAGTATCCAGGATCTCAGAAAATTCCTTTTGTATTGCCTGGAGGTTTGCAGTGATCACACAGCTTCCCAAATGGAGGGTTTGCAGCCCGGTCAAAGGAGTCCAAAGGAGAAAACCCACAACGGAGAACAGACCAAAGGCAAAACCGAAACCTTTCATCTTATGCCTAGCTCCTGGAAAGCAGAGGTGGAAATTCAAAGAGATCAGGACTTTTGGTTTCTCCTGTCAAGCTAGCAGGAAGAGGCCAGCACCAGTTGTCCACTGGGTGGGAACTAGACAGTCTTCCCTGGCTGCAAGTGGTGCTATGTGCTCACACAACTTATTAAAGGAAAGCTGCTTCAAGCAGAAGCCTTCCCAGACCCTCAGGGTCTAGGTGCTGAGTAGCACCACAGGGCATGGCTCCTTTATTGTGCCACCTTCCCGGTTCCATGGTCATTGCCAGCAGGTACGGCCTAGAGCGGCAAACGCTTGCAGTGAAGTGACAGAGGGTGGGTGACATTTCAGGAGAAATGTCCAAACTTGTTTGAGGGAACTAACATAGACACTCCCCTTCCAGAAAACCACTGCAACACCTTCTGTGGTCCCCTTAGACCTACAGGGGAAAACAGTTTCACAGAAGCTGTGACCATGCCACCAAAAATACCCAGGGGAAAATTGTCTAAATCTTATAGACACCCACAGAGCAGAAGAGCCTGGCTCTATCTGGCACTGGTCTGAGATCCGAGTGCTTAATTGAGCATAATAGGTTCATTGCGGCCCTGAAGCCAAAAACCAAGTTAATTGTTTCATAAGAGCCACATCGCCAGTGAAAGGCAAGAACTGATGGGCAACTAATAGGGCTCCATTTCAGTCTCCTTTGAGGCTCCTGGGACTCCACAGTGCCCTCTTCAGAGAAGCCATAGTCAGATATGCCTAGGGTGGATCCAATAACAATGTGCTTTTTCTCTGGCCTTGTGTCTTAGCCTTAAGGCAGAGAGAATGAACCCCACCAAAAAGCAGAAACATGTTTGAAGCAATTCATGTGTTCTTGGGATGAGGCAATTCGGTGAAGAAGGCCATGCTTACTGAGTTTTAAGATAAAATTAGAATAACCTAGGATAAGGAAAGTAAGGCTCTGGCCTCTGTCACAAAATGACTGCACACTCTTGACATTTATCTTGAAATATCGTTCTCTGTCAACCCATGGCCTGCTGCTCCAAGCCCTACCTGCTGGCTGTGACAGGATTGGCAAACAATATCACAACCTTAAATAGTAACAGAATTTGACAGTGTCATGCCAAGCCATTGAAACAGGAGAAACATACATGTATTTTCATAATTTTTGTAAGTTTCCTCAAAAGTATATGATGAAAATATTACTGATGGGTGTTCTCCCCTCAAACAATTCAGGTAAAAGTATAATAAATCTGGGAAGTCTAAGTAAAATATTTGAACTTTAGGTGTTGCTGGGGGACTGGGGATGACTCAGTCAGTAAAGTGCTTTGTCACACAGATATGAGGACCGGCATTTACGGCACACACCCAGCCTATGAGAAGAGCTGGAGCACACCTGTAGACCCAGGGCTGGAATGGCACAGACAAGGAGATTCCAGGGCTAGCTGGCCCGCTAGTCTAGCCAAATCACTAAGTTCATGTCACAGTGAGAGACCATGTCTCAAAAAAAGATAGAAGGCTACTGAGGAAGGACCCTCAAGGTTCACCTCACACCTCTACATACACATACACATGAACACACAACTCCTATCACACACACACACACACACACACACACACACACAAACACACACATTCATGATTCGCATGCACTGATAGAATTTCGGTACTGTGGTGAGACTGGAATGCCGCAGGCCTAGAAGCTAGTTATCTTATCCTGGGCTAGTTCTAACCCTCCAGAAGAGTGATTTCCTGCCCAGCCCTGTGTCTGAACCAACATTTTGTGACTAATATATTAAAAACTAATACATAGAAATGGAATCTATTAACTTAGCAGACCACTAGCTTCCACCAGCCCAAAGGCTAAGGAGGTCATCAGAGGAAATCTTGGCCTTACAGAAGCCTTTCCCCCTTCATGCTGTGCCTGCCCCTTTCATGTACCCACCTAAGTATTCTAAACTTGCCTTGGTTTATGACTTTCTTTTTTTCTGTAAAAACTATAAAAAATTCTTGAAATGCTCACACATTGCAGCATGAAATTTGGGGTAACCTAAATCTGTGTTCCCAGGGCACAGTCCAGAATAAACTCTCTTATTCCTTTAAGATGAGTGGTTTTTACATAGACAATTATGGTGCCATGATGTGGGACTCTCAAAATGACCCACTTTTCAACAAAGGGATGGATCACCTGACCGAAAGACAGGTACCCGCATGGACCTGGTGAGCTCTGGCTATCTGCTCTTAATTCCTCAGGAAAGTTGTTGGAGAATTCTGCCCACAGTCCATTGTGTTTACTCTGAGCTAGTAAATTGTCCTAATTTGATAGCCATCTTGCAACTCCTTTAGCGTTTGAACAACCCTTTCACAGAGTCACATATTAGATATCCTACTCACTAGATATTTGCATTATGATTCATAACAGTAGCAAAATTACAGTTATGAGGTAACAACGAAAATAATTTTGAGGTTGGGAGGTCCACACAACATGAAGAACTGTATTAAAGGGTGGAAGCGTTAGGGAGGTTGAGAACCACTGGTTCAAAGTTACCTAGTTTGTAACCATAGAATTTGGTCTCAACATTTGGTTTAGTTTTGTGTGTTTGCTTGTTTGCTTTTGGATCTCTGAAGTCATTTAGATTTTGTTCACTTTTTTTTTAACTTTAGAAGCATCTTAGTTTTTATTTTGTTTCTATCGGTTTCCCTTGCCTCTGAAATGCTTTGGTCTATTATCATTTGGCCTTTGTCTCTTGACTCTCCTTAAACATAATTGGGTGTGGTTTTTGCTGATTCTTGCCATGGCCAAACTTTTTGCTTATGAATTTCAGAGGCACCTTCTCCCTCCCACCCAGAAGTGTGGAGGTGTCAAAGGGAACATCCCATGTCAGGCAACAACCTCCCCCCCACATAGGGAAAATCAACAAACATGTCCCATTCCTGGGCAGACACATAAAGGACTGGTCACCTAGTCAGGGTGGTGAGCACCCTTGAGTGTGGGCAACCATGCAGGATAATGCCAAGATCCAGAGGGAGATGATCTCAGTGTAAAACTGAGAAAGCCATTCCCAAAGCAGCACATAAAACTGACTCAAAACACTTATCTGCCAGCTAGTATAGACAGACAGGCAATTTTTCAGGAGAAAAGAAAATAAAACACACATATATAATCTCTCTGGAGAGAGGGGGAGTGGAAGTATTTGAAGATAGTCTGCCATCTGGTACTCTAGCTGGCTTTATGTATGGTAAGTACTAACTTAACAAGTATTTGGAAAAGTGAGGAGAAACATTTACTTCCTCCAAACTGGTTTATCTGGCATTCTTAACAAAGTCCTAGGTGATGAAATTTAAAAAAAAAAAAAATCACAAATAGACAGGCAACCTGCTTTGCTTAAAATATAAAATGATGAAATTGGTGATTCATAATAAAAAAAAGATCTCTTTAAGAAAACTACATCTAAGTTAAATTAGATGCTAAAAATTAATTTAAAACTTTTAAAGCATTTATATGAAAACCAAAGACAAATTCTGAAATAACGCCCTCCTCTCCCCTTTCTCCTTCATGTCGTCTTTTCCTTGAGTAGTGTTTTTCCTTTAACGCCCATACCATACATTAAAGTGTCTTTATTATACAAACCAGTCCTAAAATCCCTTTCAGCCTTAAAGCCAAACATCTCAGACCCTTAGGAACTCCTCAGGTTGTTGTTAACGATAACCAAATGAAGCCTCGTCTGTGACTGACCCCTCCCCAACATGCCTGGCGGTTTATCCTGAGACCCATTTTCAAGCATTGTTGCTGAGTTTCCCTGTTTGTCATTTGACTCATCAATCCTGCTAATTATGGCTTCTGTGTTCCTTTGCTTCTGTTTCCCTAACCAGGAACCCACAAAATGTTTGAGTGCCACTGACACCAGAAATAGATGTTTTCTAGACCCTTCCGTGCTCTGCTTTTGGGTCATATGTAACAACACGTGGCTTTTTCTGAGGGACATAATCTTATTAAAGCCTACTCTCTCTCTCTCTCTCTCTCTCTCTCTCTCTCTCTCTCTCTCTCTCTCTCTCTCTCTCTCTCTCTCTCTCTCTCTGTGTGTCTCTCCCCCCCCCTCTCTCTCTCTCTCTCTCGAAATAAAAATATTCTAAAGAGACACTTGATAGTCTCTCAATCAAACTATCAGACCCTAAAGATGGAAATTTCCCAGAAATCTGACCCTGGGAAAGGGAAAGGGCACACGCCAGAGAGAAAACCTATCTCTCCCAAAGGGTTTCAAACAGCTCTCACAACTGTCAAAACACCCAGGTAATGAGTCAGTGACAGCATGGCCACACTTTGACCTAGACTGCTCAGGTGTGTTTATCCTTGGCCCTCTACTTAAACTTAGCTCTCCCTTCAGCACCCTACAGTAGACTTGAGGGGTTTGCTGGGTCTCTGTCTCTCATCCTAATGTGACCACATTGAATAAATGTTCTTTCCCTGGTTTCCATTTTGTTTTTGGCTCTTTTAACTGACTTATTTATGAAGGGTAGTTCAACCTGACTTGACACAAGTTGTGATCTTCAAATTAGGTCCTGGAAAGTGACCTGGGACAGACAAAAAAAAAAAAGGAACACAAACAAACAAACAAACAAAAACCCACCATTTCCTCTTAAGCTGTTCAGCTAGAGAAAGTAAGAGAGAGGTCCTATGGGAAGTGGGAGGGAGGGAAGGAGGGAGGGAGGGAAGGAGGGAGGGAGGGAGGGAGGGAGCTCACTTTTGGCTCTTCTGCATCAGCAGGCCTTTCTCACATCTTAAAGGAATAGAAATAAACTTTCTACCCTTTTCTTCTGAATTGGGTGCACTTAATTCATATAACTGTGCCAATGAAAATTGTTTTAGAATGTTTTTGATTGTTTTCATAAATTCATGTAAAAAGGATGGTTTTTTTGTTTTTGTTTTTTTTTAGTATTTTTAAGACAGGGTTTCTCTGTGTAGCTTTGGAGCCTATCCTGGGACTCGCTCTGGAGACCAGGCTGGCCCCGAACTAAC